ACAGTAAAAAGTTCAGTAAGACACAATCGCACTCCACGAGATGTAAGAGAACGAGCAGAAACGTCGCCTGTGTTCCACATTCAAAACCCTCCTCCACTTCTTATCCTTAAGGTATATGAATGAATCGGTTCATTCACACAAATCAAAAAGATCACGTTTCACCAAATTCAGGAATTTGCAAGAGATTGTTTTTTTTTTCGAACCGACTTTTTATCACAGATCGCTCGAATAAACGCCAATTTTTAATTGATACCGGTGCAGATATTTCCTTAATTTCTTCTTCGGGTTTCAAAAACCTGAGAAGGTCTTCTTCCGTACTTTTCGCAGCAAACAACAGTCCAATTCCAACTTTTGGCACCATTCGAATAGCGATCGATTTTGAATTTTACCGATATAACTCAGCTGAACCAAATTGCATCATCTTCATCTATGATGACCGAACATGTCATCAAAACACGTGGTCTACCTATCACGTCAAAACCTCGTCGACTTAATGATGAGAAACTATAAGCCGTAAAAGAAGAGTTTTCTCGAAATGTCCATATGCTTCGCGACTTCATATGGTTAGCAAACCAAACGGTTCCTGGCGTTCCTGCGGGGACAATAGAGCGCTAAATGCTCGGACGATTAGTAATATTATGTATGGAAAGTGTATATTTAGCAAAATCGACCTAAATCGTGCTTATAATCAAATTCCAATCAGAATACAGGATATTCCAAAAACGGCTATCATAACACCTGTTGGCCTCATCGAATTTACTCATATGACATTCGGCCTGTGTAATGCAGCACAAACATTCCAGCGTTTCATGCCTGAGGTTTTAGCGGATTTGGAATTCACATTTTGTTATCTTGTCGAACATTTACATCATTTGCACACAGTATTTGAAAGGTTACACAGCAACTTTAACCTCACCATAAATCCATCAAAATGCGAATTTGGAAAATCTGAAATCCTCTTCTTAGGGCATATGATTTCAAGTTCAGGCTTAGCACCGAACCCAGGAAATTCGGAGCTTGAAGGTTTTCTCAGCATTATCAATTTCTATCGGAGAATCATTCCACATGCCATTGAACATCAGCAACCCCGTTTTAAACTAATCCCAGGTAATAAGAAAAAGGACAAAAGCCCAATTGTTTGGACGACTGAAACAAAACACCACTGTAAGCACCACCAAATGTAAGCATGACTTTACTCTTCTCGCTCATCCTCAATCCAGAGCAGAAATCGTATTAAGC